TAATGGCAAATTAGAAACCTAAGTCTATTGAAAAACTACTCACACTAACCAACTACTCCACTACCAAAGCAAAAACCCAAATTCCCACAAGAGAAGCTGTGTAAGAACATTATTCAGATGAGCACAAACACACTGCTGCTACCCGGAATGCCAGAAAGAGGAAACAGACCACTAGACAACATCTTCCAACAAAATGAAGACCACACAACCTGCTATGGCACAACCAATACAACCTATGAAAAGGATAACACTCCCATACATCAAAAACAACTTGGAGACAACAAACAGACTGATACAACCACTCGGCATCACTGTAGCACACAAACTAACTAAAGCCCTTCAAAACATCTTAAGCAAACCAAATGACCCAGTAGCCCAAGAAGAAAAAACGGGTCATCTACAACATACAATGCAAGGACTATAACAGCCACTATGTAGAACAGACAGAAAACTAGCAGAGCACATCCATGAACACCAACTGGCAGTCAGAAGACATCATGAAAACTCCTTAATCTCAGAATACATGGACAGACTCAACCACAGTTTCAACTGGGAAACTATTATTATTTTAGATCAAGCCAAATCCAAAAATACTAGGGAATTCCTGGAAGCTTGATATTCAGACAGCTCAGCCATCAATAGACCTCCATAGAGATTAACCACCATTCAAAAGAGACAATAAAAAACCTAGGAAGGAAACAAAAAGACCAGAACACATCCCCTCCAGCAGCCAACTCTCAGATAAGCAGGGATCAACACCAGACAAACAATCAAGCAGAGAACAATATTCTAATCAAGGAACCACCAAGGAGGAAAACAAAACTGGCAGAGCAAGCTACTATATAAAAACAGGCAGCAAAGCCCACACTCACCCACGCTGATGATGTTACTTAGTTGGGTAATAAAATGTCTTCACACAAACAACCAAGCTCAGAGAGCATGAAGAACTCCACAGTTCAACCCTGAGCTACAGATATTCTCTTCTATTGTAAATGTTGTATGTTCTCTTACCACTATATTAAGAGTATATAACTGAAATATGAAACACTATTTCATCCATCTCAAGGCAATTTATAAAGTAACAGAAATAGAACTATGAACATAATATATTCAGCATAAGGAGAACAATAAATTAGCAAAGCAGCCCTGGTCTAAAAGCCGACTGGAATAATTTTAATAGCTTTGTGAAAGGCAAGCAAGTTGGAGGCTTCCAATACCTCAGGGGGTAAAATATTCCATAACATGGGGCATCAAGAAGGGGCATCTCTGGGCTCCCATTCTGTCTACTTCATATAGGGTGGGGAACCTCAGCAGCTCTTCTGGGATGAGCCTACAGGACAGGCTGATTGTGATTAGGAAAAACAGTCTAGTAGCAACATGGGTGTCAAGTCGTGTAATACTTTTAAGCTTTAAATCAGCACCTTGAATTGAAAGCCTATCAGTAAAAAATGCAGTAACCTCAGTAGAAGGATAACACTACTAAACCTGTTCTCTCCTGTTAGTGGTCAGCCAGCTGCACTTTGTACTGATGCAGCTTCTGCGTAATTTTCAAGTGCATTACAGCAGTCTAAGTAGTCAGAAGGGCAGTGCAGTTAAGTAACTTACTTTCTCCATCCAATCCTCAGCACTGCAAGAGCTTTAAACATTACAAGCCTTTCTAGCCATTCTAAGCCTTGCATTGCTATGCCTATTGGAAACTGAGTTGATTGTTATGAGCGTGAGAGTGGAGTAAGGATTTGCAGAAAGAAATGTAAAAGGATCTCATCTTCTCATTCAGAAACTTAGTTGAGACTACAATTCCAAAAACTGTTCTGTTTAAAATCCAAACTATTTTAATAATTAATTTCAAGGGTAATATTTTTTTTCTTCTTTTTCCTGCACTGACCAGAAGGCTGGGCTCTTGGGCCTGAATGGCCTCTTCCAACTCTCTCCTATCATTACTAAGATTCTAATTTGGAAACCAGTAGTAGGCATAACTAAATTGTGGTCTATGAACAGAAATTGGAGTTGGAAAATTTACAAGGCAAAATTTTCTACTTCAAAGAAGTTTAGCAGTTTCCAAGTTGTACAGGTAGTCGCCACTTTAAGAACAAGTTCTGTTCTCAAGGTCTGTACTTAAGTTGAATTTGTATGTAAGCCAGAACAGCTTTGTATAAGTAGTATTGTGTAATGAATTCAACCCATTGTGTATTTAACTCAAATTTTGCTACACATTCTTAACTATGGGTGATCCTTAAACTGGACGTTCTTAACCCAGGGACTACCCGTACAATGTTTGCTTTTCATGAAATTGTTCTTAAAATTTGATAAACTAAAAGTATGCTGCAATTGTATATTATTATATTGCCTATTCCCCAACATAATTTCCTACATTACAATAAAAATATTTTTCCACACATGACTTTAATTTCTTTGAAGGTAATATTCAGACCTTGTACAATAGATTTACTTTCATATCAGGTAATATAGTCCCAATACTATGGATATTAAACTGTCTATATTAATTTGAATCATACCCATTTGCATAGGAAAATATAATATTTTAAGAATCTCACATCTCTGTCCACTCATATAATGGTTCTTGGATGTTTATATCTAAAGTCCTTCCAAACACTCTATCAAAGAATCTGGTTCGCACCACAGCTGAAACAAAAAAGCCACTTTTTCTGCAAAGGGCCTTTTTATATTTACAAGTCTTGTGTTATTGCTATTTATTTATGATAAGTTTTAAAAACTTATTCTGTATTTCATCTGAGTCCCAGCTGAAGTAAACGTACCATTAGCTGAGAACACTGCATTAATAGACCAGTGCTATTTCAAACAATTATACTCTTTATTACATAGTCAGGACTGTTTAAGATAGATGTCTATTTTCTTAGCAGTTCTCCCTTGAGTATACAATTTGTACTGTTTATGTATAAACAGTATTTACATGTTAAATCAATGACCTCTTTTCTACTTAGCAGTATAATGCTGCACACCTACCAGGACAGCACATCAGAACTGTGCTCACTGTCAGGATCTGTAGGCACCCAGCGTCCGATGGACCAGAGTTTCTGCATTTTCACAGTAGTTTCATCTCCTGTATCACGGAAGCACAGGAAGTAGCTACAACAAAAGGACAAGATTGCATGGAGGCAGTGAAGTGGTTGGGTGATCAAACAGCCTCTGGGAAACTCAAATAATAAAAATGTAGTAAGACCAAAGAAAGAACTGTACTGATATAGCACGGAGTAGCTTTTGGAACAATCCCATTCTCCCAGTACCAGAAGTACAGAAAGGGAGAAGTATTGTTAGATCTGTCTAGCCAGGTCCCATTCACCCACCCCACACATTCCCAATGTATCCAGCAACTCACTATTCTGTCCGGAGTGCCTGATTCCGACCAGCAGACCCCTCCAAGATGTCAAGGTTCCAGCGCATCTTCTTATAAAGATTGTGGGGAATGTGAGCAGCTGTGTATGGTGCTGAGATACAGTAGCGAAAGATGGAAACTTGTCGGGCCTCATTCATCCAAAATTTCCCACAGAAGAAACATGATACGCTATTGGAGATTTTGGGATAGATATGGAGTGGCAGATATGTATGTGCATGTAAGTAAGAAAGTTGAGACAACAGGGCAGGTTTAAAACCAAGAGCAATATCTTCCCAACTGAATACAAATAAATCAGTAACTTTTCAAGAGAACTTATGACTATGAACCTAAGTTATAACATAACTGAACATTAGGTCTCTTCAGAATTCCTGAAAAAGAATGCTTAAATGGGATGGGATCATTCTAACAATTTAAACATTTTTAAAAAGAATCTTTAGAAAAACTTTAAAAAGCTATTCAATTTTCTGACTGTAACAGTCTAGGAGGAATACTTCAGACAGCAAAAACACTTTACACTATGAATGTGTGCTTTGTGGCACACGCCAACTGCTGATTTTATTTGGAAGAACATTTTCTTCAATTCTATACATCTGAATGATTAGCAAAAATCACTTCTGAAACATTTTGTCCCACCTAACCCTAACATTACATCACCTTGCACTGATTAATTTGTCTTTAATTGTTTTAATTGTTTTAATTTTTATTTATATTAATTTTGTTTTTCGTTGTTTTAATTTGTGAGCCGCCTAGAGTCACATACATGAGATGGACAGCTATATAAATTGAAATAAAAAAATAAATCACACGGGGGCACATAGAGCTAACCTTTCCCTGATGACTGCTTTGTACCTGAATGGGTCTGTGTCTTCAAGAGAAACAAAGCTGAAGGAAGCGTACATCAGCACCAGTTGCTCAAGCTGGCAAGCCAATTGCTGAGAAATTTCCAAAAGCTGTGGCAAACGGAAAACTAGGGTTACAAGTGTTTGAGACTGGAGGCTGAAAAAGGTATTAACAATGCCAGGCAAGTCCTTGAGACCAGTCTAATCCCCAATATTTAGTCCACTAAACTCAGCTCTGTTCTTCAATTAGCTAAAAAAATGATTTGGGGTTTCATGGGAGGAGGGCGGTGTTGCAGCCAAACTTCTCATATCTGAAATCTAATAGAAACACTGAGGCTGGGGTGTTTCTTACTGCCTCCTTCCCTCTCAGCAGGAGGAGAAAGCACAGCTTTCAACCAGCAGTCAGTCCACTACCTGCAAAAGAAAAAGAAAAAAAGTGGGGAAGAGATGTGTCTCCTCCTCTTGCTATTATGCCATAGAGCTTCCATTGCTCACCCAGAATTAGGTGGAAAGGTCTGAGTATTGTGAGAAATGGACAGCTTTCAGTATTTCCAACAAAAAGACATTCTGCAGTTATTCTGTCTTTTCTTCCTAACAGTTAATTTTGTAGTGGGGAAAAAAAAAAGTGGCGGGAGAAAGGAGATGGGTTACAAATGGAGGACGTCAAAATCCAAATATCCAGTAAAAGTCTGTGAACAAAAGCCTTTTTTAACCACAACCTGTATTGGAGGACTGTGAGGGTTTCCACAGGCAAGCAGCACATATTGTTGAAACGTTGCTTATGGAGGGGCAAATGTAACTGGATTAGTATTGCAATGTCTATTCTTGCTATCCTGATAGATACACAGTATTGCTAAGTTCTGTCCCCAGCTGTAGGTGGAGAAAACTGGAACATTTTCTGTCAAAAAGTGACAGGAAGCTTACGTATCTGAGTGTGCTGGGGTTTGTGAATTCAAACTCCTCTTTTGACTCCCCTCCAGAGTGGGGAGGGGAGGGAATCCTTTACAGGTAGTCCTCGTTTAATGACAATTGGGACTGGAATTTCCATCGCTAAGCGATGTGGTTGTAAAGCGAGATGTCACGTGACCGCTTCACTTAGCGACCACAATCCCAGCACTCCTCGTTGCCATTGTTAACCAAGAATCTTGGGTCATTAAGTGGAGAAAGTCCCAGGTAAGGAGTGCAGGGGTGCTGCAGGGGTGCTGCAGGGGTGCTGCAGGGGTGCTGCAGGGGGTGGGGGAGGCCCTGGGGGGCCTGGCACAGGCCATGCATGAGTTGTGGGGAGTGCTGCAGTGTGGCACAAAGCCGCAGCCACCCCTGGAAGCCTCAGCTACCCCAGCCCAGCCCAGCAGTGCTTACGACTGCAAGGGCGTTGTAACTTCCCCTGCCTGCCTATCTCCCCCCCCCCCCATTTATGCCCTTTTGGCCACCCTGCACAGTGGCATTCAATGGCAGCGCCGGGGCTGGGGCTGCGGTAGAGGCCTGGGGCCTCTAGTAGCCTCAGCTGCTGCCACCATCCCCAGGCCTCTACTTCAACCCCAGTGCAGCCACTATCACTGAGAAATGCAGCCTCAGGCCCCAAACCATGGCCAGCCACCCCAGCACCATTGCACAAAGCCCTAGTTGCCCCTACCACCCTGCGCTCCACAGGCTCTGCCGTGCCCAGCTGACCTTCACCATTTTCCTCCTGTTGCTGACAAGGTGCGCCCAGCCTGACCCTACTGTTTGCAAGGCAGCTGCTGGCCACGCCATGCCTTCTTCCAGGGGCTGCTCGTTCTGTTCTCCAAGCCATTTGCACCATTCCTTCTCCAAATCACGCGCCCCATTCTCATGATCCTTTGGAAACCTTCTGGTCTTCCCCAAGTGTTGTGAAAATGGGTGCGCTCTTTGGAGAAGGAATGGGGCCCATGATTTGGAGAATAAGTCTTCCGAATCACTGTGAGAACGGGGCTCCTGCCGTTCTCCAAATAGCACGCCCGTTCTTGCAAGAGCTGGGGAAGACCAGGTTTCCGAAGGATCATGAAAATGGGGCATGCAATTTGGAGAAGGAATGGCACAAGTGGCTTGGAGAACAGTGCAAGTGGCCTCAGGAAGAAGGCCTGGTGCAGCCAGCAGCTGCCTTACATACAGTAGGGTCAGGCCGGGTGTGCCTCATCAGCAGCAGGAGGAAAACAGCAAAGGTCAGCTGGGCATGGCAGAGCCTGTGGAACACAGGGTGGCGAGGGCAACTGAGGCTTTGCACAATGGTGCTGGGATGGCTGGCCGTGGCATGGGGCTTGTGGTGGCATTTCTCAGTGGCAGTGGTGGCGCTGGGGCTGAAGTAGAGGCCTGGGGAATGGTGGCAGCTGGCTGAGACTGCTGAAGGCCCCCGCCTCTACTTCAGCCCCAGCGCCACCACTGC